AAGAGTGGAGCCATTTAAAATTTATCTTCAAACTTGAGGTCGCCACTTTAAAGACAATGTAAATAAATTTAGGTTCATAACATGACATAAGGACAAAAATAAGCTGTAATAACTTCAAGCATTTGGTTAACAAATTATAAATATCAGTTTAGGAAAGTTTTTCGTATATATATTTATACATTTTTTTTATAAAAGATCATACGTGCAATGCAAATTACTTAACATACTGAAAATATGTCTTTTCTGTTAAACAAGACTGAGCCACAGCAACGCGTGTCAGGGTACAGCTAGTATATATATATATATATATATAGAGAGAGAGAGAGAGATAGAGATAGAGAGAGAGAGAGAGAGAGAGAGAGAGGACCAGACAGACGATGTCCTGTACACAAATCTTAAATTAAAAATAAAAGATTTTTGAATATTCCATGCTGCGATCATAGCGCAGTCTGCCGGATCCAATGTAAAACATTCCAAGATCAACAATTTATAAAAAAAATTAATTAAATAAACATTTCTAAACCGAATTATAAATCTAAACCATTCTTGAATCCACTGGAACAGACAAAAAACTTTCATCAAAATCGGTCCAACCGTTTAGGAGGAGTTCAGTTACATACACACGCACAGAAGAATTACAAATATAAAGTTTATTTAAAAAGATATTAATTAAAAACGCTAAAAAGCGTGAATCGTGTCTGCATTTTCGTAACAATAAAGACCGGTTTTGGCTAGTTTGGCTGAGAATCAATTTTCGACGCCAACTTGCATCTTTTTCAATTTCTTCTATTAGCTCTCGATCTGTATAGATATTTTATTTGTTTGTTTGTTTATTTATTTATTTATTTATCTTGGTGGGATTTTCAATCGTTAATAAAATACATTTTAAAGCGCTCCATTGAGCTGAAATGTAATGTACACGATTATTTTGGATGACAATACAATAATTTAACTATAATAAATAAAAATTAATTGATTAAAACTAATTATTTAATAAATTACAAATACAGCCACGTTGGCGACTTAGAGACCCTTTTGACGACTTATGTCAAAATTTAAAAAGGTTTTTTCTCACGTGTTAAAGCAATCAGTTGAAAGGAAATTTTATATACACGATTGTTTTGGATGACAATACCATACTTTAATGATAATTAATAAAAATTAATTACCACTTAATGTTGTGATTCTCTCATATGTATATGCATATTTATAATAATTGCAACTATTTAAAAAAATTACCAAAATAAATTTTTTCTTGGTTGCTCTAAGTAGGAATTGATTAAAAAAATTTTTTATATTACTTGTTTATAACAAAAGCGTTGTTACAACAATGCAGGGGAATGTTGAGTTGTATTTTTTGAATGTTTTTAATTAATATCTTTTTAACTAATTGCGATATCGGACCGAATTGTGAATCTAAACCATTCACGAATTTACTTGAACCCACACAAAAAATTTCATCGAAATCGGTCCAGCCGCTTATGAGGAGTTTAGTGACATACACACGCACAAAAGATTTATATATATATATATATATATATATATATATATATATATATATATATATATATATATATATATATATATATATATATATACTAGAGGACGCGACAGACGTTGTCCTGTACACACATCTTAAATTCAAAAATTCCAAATTTTTATGAATAAGCTTTAACAATCTGAACCGTTTTGAGTAAAATTTGTATTAAAAAGTCATTACAATGTAATTATGTGCCAAGTTTTATACTTCTGGGTTGCTTAGAAGTGAAACACACACACACAAACTATTTCCGATAAGAAATAATTTTAAATAAAAAAAAGTTTAATAATGTGTGTAATCAATTAGCTACACAAATAGATTTGTAGTTTAGAATAATTGTTGTCAACGCACGTGTAAATTTAATAGAAAATCATGTGAAATACTCACTTCAATTGCATACTAAATTTGGAGAATGTATAGTTTTTTATGCACACTTAAAAACTCTTCAGACACTAATTACATCTGAATGTAATAATTTAATTAACACACGATTTATTTCAACAAAATAATAACACGAAGTGAAAAATATTATCCTGAAATGATTACAGCACCAACTGTCGGGACCAACATGAATTATAATAAAAGATTTTTGAATATTCGATACTGCGATCATAGCGCAGTATGCCGGATCCAATGTAATACATTCCAAGATCAACAATTCATAAATAAAAAATTAATTAAATAAACATTTTTAAACCGAATTATAAATCTAAACCATTCTCGAGTCCACTGAAACAGAAAAAAACTTTCATCAAAATCGGTCCAGCCGTTTAGGAGGAGTTCAGTTACAGACACACGCACAGAAGAATTACGTATATAAAAATTACTAGCCGTTACCCACCCGCTTCACTCGGTATTTCACGATATTGTATATATGTATACTGTTTACATACATATTAATTATTGATATCTAGCATTAAGAATTCGATTGTATTGAAAAATATATTTATAGCTGTTACACTCTCGCCCCTTGATATAAAAAGAACATAAATTAAAATATCTAATTTCTATTTATAACTAAAATAGAAGTAGAAAGATTTTTTGCGCTCACTTAACCTAATAATCAAGTGGATTTCCACCAAAGCAACTTTCCGTGGATCTCTACTCCATAAAATAAATATGAGTGCTAAATTTCAAGTCTAAATCTAACAGAGCAAAAACGGAATTTTTATCATCAATACCTCGTTGACAGCATTCTTAGCGAATTCCAATTCAACAAAAGAAGCATGCAAACAAAATTTTATTATTATAGTCTTAGCAGTTCAAAAACGGGAATTTGGTCGATCAATACGCCCCAATAACTCTCCCCGCTTCCCCTGGAGTTGATTTCCGTAAAATCATTCTTAGTGGAACTCTATTCAACTATAAATAAAAGTGCTCAACAAATTTCAAGTAAATGAGTTAAATTCAAAAACAGGAATTTTTCTATAACACGCCTTAATCCCTCGCAACTCCACTCCTTTGGGGGTCCGTTTTCGCAAAAATCTTTGTAAAAGGAACTTTATTCCATGAACGGAACATACCTTCTAATTTTCAAGCAGGTGGTTCTATTAGTGGAAAAGCGGAAATATTTATCTATTATACGCCCCTTAATCCTCTTCAGTGACCCTTGGGGATCAATTTTCCCCAAAACTATTTTGTAGCGGATCTCTACACCATGAAAGGAATTCGCTTATACCAAATTTCAAGACTGTACATCTAATAGTTTAAAAATGGAAATAATTATCTATAACGCACCTTAAGCCCCCGCAACGCCACTTAGGAAACGATTTTCACAAAACCCATCTCATAGCGGATCTCTACTTAATGAATGGAATCAGCTTACAAAATTTCGAGATTTTACGTCTAATAGTTTAAAAAAAAGGTGTTAATTGCCTATATCGCCACTTAATTCTCTACAACGCCACTTGGGAGTCGATTTTCACAAAACCCATTTTGCAGCGGATCTGTACTCTATGAAAGGAATCCGCTTACCGAATTTCAAGACTGTACGTCTAATAGTATAAAAATGGAAATAATTATATATAACGCCCCTTAAGCGCCTGAACGCCCCTTGGAGGTCGATTTTTGTAAAAATCATTATGTAGGGAATCTCTACTTTATGAAAGAAATCTGTGTACCAAGTTTTTCACGACTGTACGTCTAATAGTTTAGTAATGGAAATAATTATCTATAACGCCACTTAAACCCCCGTACGCCTCTTGGGGTTCGAACTTCGCAAAATCCGTTCTTAGCTGACGTCTACTCCATGAAGGGAACCTACCTACCAAATTTCAAGTCTGTAGGTTAAATAGTTTCGGAGATATCGTGATTAGTCAGTGTGTCAATGAGTCAGTCAGTCAGTGAGTGAGTCGCTTTTCTCCTTTATATATAGATATAGATTTGAAGAGATATTAACTAAAAACGCTAAAAAGCGTGAATCGTCTGCATTTTCGTAACTATAAAGACCGGGTTTGGCCAGTTTGGCTGAAAATCAATTTTCGACACCAACTTACATCTTTTTCAATTCCTACTATTAGCTCACGATCTTTATACATATTTCATTTGTTTGTTTATTTATTTATTTATTTATTTTTCTTGGCGGAATTTTAAGCGCTCAATTGAGCTGAAATGTAATGTACATGATTATTTTGGATGACAATACAATTATTTCATTATAATTAATAAAAATTAATTGATTAAAACTAATTATTTAAAAAATTACAAATATAGCCACGTTGGCGATTTAGTGACCCTTTCGGCGACTTATGTCAAAATATGAAAAGGTTTTTTTTTCTCACGTGTTAAAGCATTCCGTTGAAAGGAAATTTTACATACACGACTGTTTTGGATGACAATACGATACTTTAATGATAATTAATAAAAATTAATTACCACTTAATGTTGTGATTCTGTCATATGTATATACGTATTTTTATTAATTGCAACTATTTAATAAAAAGTTGCTAAAATAATTTTTTTTCTTGGTTGATCTAAGTAGGAATTGATTTAAATTTTTTATATATTACTTGTTTATAACAATAGTGTTGTTACAACAATGCAGGTGAATGTTGAGTTGTATTTTTTGAATGATTTTAATTAATATCTTTTTAACTAATTGCGATATCGGACCGAATTGTGAATCTAAACCATTCTCGAATTTATTTGAACCCACACAAAAAATTTCATCGAAATCGGTCCAGCCGTTTAGGAGGAGTTTAGTGACAAACACACGCACAGAAGACTTTTATATATAAAGATATATATATATATATCGTTCAAATATTCAATCCTTAATAAAATACTTTTTATTCATCCACTCAAGTTCAAGTGCATTTTCTTAAACCTGTAGTGGATGACACTTGATGTTAATACAATTTTTCAACTATTAATTCATGAACTACATTTAATTAATGAATAAAAAGAAACCAACAAAAATAATAGTCCAACACTGTATATAAAAAGGAAAATCGCTAGTTGTGTCCCCGTAGCGCAATGGATAGTGCGTTGGACTTCTAATCCAAAGGTCGTGGATCCACCTGGGATCGCCTAATTTCTGAGAATGTTATATCTTTTTACTATACTATTTTATTCTAATAACTAAATTTAATGAATGAATAAATAATAACAAGCAAAAATAATAGTCTGTTGCCGTTGGTTGAGTTCGAATAACAGCCAGAGATGGAGATAGTACTTAAATTTATATTACAAGAAAATAAATATTTACAGTTAAAGTTTACACTAAAAGGTAATAACACGGTTAAATGAAAATTACACCCTTGAAGGTGCTGCGGATTGATGCGGACAAGACCTTGCGTCTGTCCGTTGCGTTTCAGTTTACAGAATGTCCCGGTACGAGGTTCAAAAGTTTCCGTTGGGGTAGGAAGGCGGGAAAGTATGGCGCACTCAGTTACAGTTAAGTGAGGAGTGTAGGAAACATACTCCCACCCTATATCCGAACTTGTTCGGATATATGGGAAGTTTGTGAAGTTTATAAACAGGTCGTTTTAACACTGAGTTTTGGGTTTTCACAGTTGCAACTCGAACCAGTCCGTCGTTGCCTGAATGCACTTGAAGAACTCGAGCCATTGGCCATGTACCAGGAGGACCCTCCTCTTTGATCAATACGATGTCATGTTCCTTCATGTTTGGTTGTGCGTCCTGCCATTGCTTGCGAGGTTGTAAGGAAGAGATAAATTCGGAGCTCCACTTCTTCCAAAAGCCCCGTTTTATGTTCTGTAGCAACTCCCAACGATCTCTGTGTATGGAGGTTGAAGGAAGCTCCTCTGGAACTGAAAGAAGAACATCACCTGTAAGAAAATGCGAAGGTGTGAGCGTAGATATGCATTCTATGTCAGAGTCATTAACGTAGGAGAGAGGCCTGGAATTTAGTAATCCTTCGATTTGTGTGAGCAAGGTTGTTAACTCTTCAAAAGTTAATATGGTTTCTCCCAATACTCTCTTCAGATTAAATTTGACGGATCGAATTCCTTATTCCCAAATACCTCCAAAATGTGGTGATGAGGGTGGAATAAAGTGCCAATCTATTGAAGATTTGGATAAGTAGTAAGAGATGGCTTCATTAGTTGCTAAAGAAAGCCATAACTTCCGTATTTCGTCAAGTTTTCGACGAGCTCCAACAAAATTGGTTCCATTGTCACTATAAATGTGGCGGGGAGCACCACGACGAGCACTAAAACGACGAAGTGCAGCTATGAAGGAATCGGTTGTTAAGTCTCCGACTGCTTCATTATGAACAGCTTTAGTTGCTAAGCATACAAATAAAGCAATGTAACCCTTTGTAGATTTAGTCTCTCGACCTTTGTTGCATTTAATCAGTACAGGACCAGCATAATCAATACCGCAACTGAAGAAAGGTCTCTCCAGCGTGACACGGTGTTTTGGTAAATTGCCCATCAGTTGTGGTGTTGTGGTGGATGTTTTGAATTTGTTACACTTTAAGCATTTTCTAATACATTTTTTAATTAATTTTCTACTTCCTACGATTCAATGGGACTGTCGAAGAACGTGAGCTAACAAAGTCGGCCCAGCATGTAAATGAGCAATGTGTTGTTCCTTGATAAGGAGTTCACTAATACTGTGCTGAGAAGGAAGTATGATAGGATGCTTGGAATTGAATCGAAACTGGGAATTTTGCAATCTCCCTCCCACCCGTACTAAACCATGTTCATCTATGAATGGATGGAGGGAACGTAATGGACTTTTGGGTGGCAAAGAAATCTGTTTCTTAATGCTTCGTATTTCTTCCTGAAAATAGAAACCTTGAACCCAACGAATGATGGTTTCTTCAGCGGTTTTGGTTTCCGAAAAGGTAAGTGAAGTAGTATTAATATCGGATGAACTGATCGATGATCCTTGAGATGCTATCTTTTTACAATTTTTAATAAATCTTTGGCAATAAGCAAAAATGCGAATTATTTTGGTGAGTGAAGAGTAATGTTCGAATAAACCATGAATTACATCATTTGATGTGTGAGTAAACAGATTGAAGATGGAGACTGATTTTTGTTCCGCTTTTACCTCATCCGAAGCCTCATCGCAACTGTATTCAGCCTTGGGCCAACTAGAAGTTTCTAGCCTTAGCCAGGGTGGTCCTTGCCACCATAACTTGCAATCTGGTAAGCATTTAGGATCAATATCTCGGGATGCAATATCTGCGAGATTTTCCTTAGAAGGCACATGTCTCCAATGCTTTGTAGGTAGAACTTCCATGATTTCAGATGTTCTATTTGCTACGAAAGTTTTCCATTTGCGAGGGTGACTAGACAGCCAGGAGAGAACTATTTTAGAATCCGTCCAAGCGAATACATCAAAGGTATAATGTTTTAATGTCCGTAAGACCGATTTAAATAGATTGGATAGTAAATGTGCACCGCACAACTCCAATCGAGGAATGGAAACTTGTTTGACAGGGGCTACTTTAGTTTTTGATACAAGTAGTTGAACCTTTATTTTGCTGTTGTGTTTCTGCCGACAGTAGATTGCAGCAGCATAAGCTAATGAAGAAGCATCTGCAAAACCATGCAATTCTACTGTGTTGTCTGCTGTAAGGATGACCCATCTAGGAACAGTGAGGTAGTTGATTGCATTAAAAGCCTTTTGAAACTTAAGCCAATCCTCTGTTAATTGTTGTGGAATGGGAGAATCCCAATCTGTTTTTGTAAGCCAAAGTTTTTGATAAAAAATCTTCATGAATACTGTACAAGGTGAAAGCAGTCCTAAAGGATCGAAAATTTTGGAAGATTCAGATAAAATACGTCTCTTTGTGAGTGGTGGTGTAAGTTCAAGCGATGGTTGGAAACCAAAAGTGTCATTGGATGAATTCCAAAATAAGCCTAATACTTTGGAATTTTCATTAGAATCTTTGTAAAATTCAACTCGTGCATCATGAGAACTATGTTCTGAAAATTGAGCGAGAAATTCGGTGGAATTAGAATTCCATTTTCTTAAATGAAATCCGCGAGTACTCAAAACATGAGTAATGTCCTTGCAAATGGAGATTGCGTTATTTGGCGTATCTGCTCCTGATAGTAAATCATCCATATAAATATCTTCCTGTAATACTCGGGAGAGAATGGGATTATCTTTATCATCGAGAGCGATTTGCTTAATACACCTAGTGGCCAAAAAGGAAGCTGAGGCTAAACCGTAGGTGACAGTTTTTAGCTTGTATGTGCGAATGTTTTCATTGGAGTTATTTCTCCAAAGAATTTGTTGGTATTTCTGATCTTCATCAGCTACTAAAATTTGACGGTACATTTTTTCAATGTCCGCTGTAAATACAATTCTAAGAATTCTAAAATTAAGCAATATTTCAAAAATATCCCTTTGTAATTTGGGACCTACTCCTAGCAGAGAATTTAATGACGTACCATTTGTAGTTTTGCAAGAGATGCGTCAAAAACTACTCTTAACTTTGTTGTAATGCTGGATGGCTTGATAACGGCGTGATGCGGTAAAAAATTCTGATCTTTGGAAGTATGGGATCTGGAATTTACTAAGCTCATGTGACCTAGCGATTCGTATTCGTTCATGAATTCTTTGTATTGTTTTTCAAAATGTGGGTTATTTTTAAATTTCCGCTCCATTGCTAATAAGCGAGAAATTGCTGCGGGTTTTGAGTCTCCCAATTCTGAATTTGATTTATAAAATGGATTAAAAATTCATATATAAATGGGAAAAATTATTTTACAACAAAGCGTCCTTCGGAATTCCATGCATAAGTATTTTGAAAATGTGTTTCCACATATTGCTCTTCAGAAGTTAAGATTTTATCCTTTACGTTGGGAATTTCTTCTAATTCCCAAAATTGCTTTAATTGATTGTCAATATTCGTACCATTAATGTGAAGATTTAGCATTGAATTTGAGTTTAAAGAATCAGTTAATTTGCCTGAAATTAGGAAACCAAAAATGGAATTTTGAGCGATTAAATTACTTTGAGAGCAAGTAATTTGCCCAGGAAGCAAAATAGAAAAAAAGTAGTCAGATCCGAGAATCATATCGATATTGTTTGGGATAAAAAATTTCGGATCCGCTAAGCAGGCATTTTTTAAATGAGCGAAATGTGTTTCATTTATTTTTTCCGTTGGTAACGGAGCAGTTAGTTTTTCCAAAACATATGCTTTAACTGGTAGTTTGACCTTGGGGTCATGTAACGATACTAAATCTATTTCAACACACCCTCTAGTCATCGCGATTTTAGAATCTTGCAATCCTTTAATTTGAAATCTAGCGTTTTTTCTTTTCAGGCCTAGCAGTTTTAAACATTTTTCCGAAATGAATGTTGATTCACTTCCGCTGTCCGCCATAACTCGAACTTGGCAGTTCTCCCCAAAATATTTTTAATGTTAACGCTTAAAGTTGATAATAAAGAAAAATATGTTTGTATAGAGTTCACGGAAACTGCAACTTCTTTGTTTTGAATAGTATCGTTTCCTGTCTGGTTTTGACCTTCAGCATGATGAGATTTATTTGCTGACATTGCGTAATTTTTAAAATTATTATCATGTAATAGCGAATGATGCCTTTTCTTACAAAAGTGGCAAGTAAAAGTTGAATTACAATGTGACTCAGTGTGCCTATCAGATAAACAGTTCATACATAATTTTTGTTTATTAACAAGTTGTTTACGCTCTTTAACAGACATTTCTTTGAATTTAGAACATTTGAAAACAAGATGATTCATTTTACAACAAGAACATTTTAAACTATTGTTAAATTTCGATTTATTAATATAAGGTTGCTTTTCATAAGTAACATTTTCATTATATAGTTCTAAATATGTACATCTGCTACTTAAAAATTCTATAAATGCTTCAAATGTGGGAAAATCAATATTATTTTAGAATTGCGCCCATTCTTGGCGCGTTTTAGGATCAACCTTTTGTAACAAAATGTAAATCAACCATACATCTCTAGACTCTGCTTTAGTATCAATAGATTTAAGACCTCTAATTACTTCGTCGGAAGTATCTGCTATGTTGCGTAAGTTGTGAGAGTTAGTATCGTTAAAAGAAGGTTGTTC